CTCTCACTCTTTTTCTTTCTTTTTTCTTTCTTTCTTTCTTTCTTCCTTTCTTTCTCTTTCTCTCTCTGTGTGAATCTGTGTGTCTGTGTGTGTGTGTCTGTGTGTGTGAGTGGTGGGTTTCAAAAAAATTTGGAACCTCTTCTGTAGGTGTGGCCTGCTTTCCGGGTCCACTGGTGGAACCTCTTCTAACCGGTTCGGTAGATTTGACGGACTGGTTCTACCGAATAGGTGCGAACTGGTAGGAACCCACCTCTGACATGCACGTAGATAGCCCATGCGCTCACATTTACAAACCAATAGGGAAGATAAGTGTATACCACTTATGGTTATAAGTCTCTTCTTTTAGTACTATGGTTAGTAAAACTATCAATTTGGACTTCTTTTAAACTGTTACAATGCTTAAAAAATGGAAATAATCTCTGAATACATATAGATAATAATTTTTTTCTAGGAATAGTACAGGTGATCTTCGACTTACAATTGTTCATTTAGTGACCGTTCAAATTTGCAATGGCACTGAAAAAAGTGACTTATGACATTTTTCACACTTAAGACCATTGCAGCTCCTCCCTAGTCACGTGATCAAAATTCAGAGTCTTGGCAACTGGTTCATATTTATGATGGTGGCCCAGAATTATGTGATCACTTCTGGCAAACAAAGTCAATGGGGGAAAGCCAAATTCACTTTACAACCATGTTAGTAGTAAAATAAAGGTAAAGGTAAAGGTTCCCCCTGCACATGTGTGCTACTCGTTCCTGACTCTAGGGGGCGGTGCTCATCTCCGTTTCAAAGCCGAAAAGCCAGCGCTGTCCGAAGACGTCTACGTGGTCATGTGGCTGGCATGACTGAACGCCAAAGGCGCACGGAACGCTGTTACCTTCCCACCAAAGGCGGTCCCTATTTTTCTACTTCCATTTTCACCGTGGCTTAGAACTGCTAGGTTGGCAGAAACTGGGACAAGTAACGGGAGCTCACTCGGTTATGCAGCGCTAGGGATTCGAACTGCCAAGCTGCCGACCTTTCTGATCGACAAGCTCAGTGTCTTAGCCACTGAGCCACCTTAGTAGTAACTTAACAACTGCAATGATTCACTTAACAACTGGGGCAAAACAGATTGTACATTGCAACCTTTTAAGTGCAAAACTCTCTTTTAACAAATGTCTCACTTAGCAACGTCTCAATTGTGGCCGTAAGTCGTGGACGCTAGCAAGTTGCAGGAGGAGAAAAACCCATCATCAATTGGTACGGGAGGGCATCAATACATGCCCAACCATCTATTTTTAAAATGGAAAAGTTTAGGAATAATCAACTTTAACCACAGCCAAGAAACTACTCTAAATATGAGGTTCTCTGTACAGCCAAGCCAATTTTTATAGGAATATGAAAGGAAAACAGCGCAGTGTCATTAACGCCTGAGTGCAGACCCACACTGGATTTTTTTATTTTATTTTTAAGAGGCATTAGGTGCAGATGTGGAGTTTTAAGCAAAGACATGATAGCAATCTTCAAATATCTCAAAGGCTTTCATATGGAAAGCAGATTTGTCCTGTTGTTCAGTGGAGCAAGATTTGGGCTGGGTGAAGAAAATTGCGTGCTAATCGCCATTTTTGGTTGCACTTTAGGATTTAACTTCCTAATATGGCATTTGCAAAACCTGAGGGTCCAAATAAAAAACTTGGTTAAAAAAAAAAGAGCCTGCTCCAATTGCCTCTGAATACTCTTTTTTTTTTAACCAAGTTTTTTTATTTCTTGTTACATATTTTAACTTCTTTTATAAACAAAGTGTTGTCATGGTCTCCCCCCCCCCCCGCTTTACATCTTCTATAATGTGTAGTACATCCTATTTCCATTTTACATTTCAGTCATTTTATTTTTATTCCATATCCTCACGCTTAGTTTTAATTTCTTCCTAATATATTGGCAATATCATTATTTGCCTCTCAAAATTAATCAAATTTAACATATCATCTCCATCTGTTATTCTGTTTTACTATTAATAACATATATCCTCTGATGAAAGAAATGTCCTTCTGAGTTCGGCTCCAAGGGGGGGGAAAAGACTCTGGAGACATGGAGGCTGCTTGGAAAGATGGTTTATTATGTAAAGTGGACTAGCTTGGCCTTCTTAATGGCCCATTAACAAAGTGGGGAAGGGCAGGAAGCTACAGGCAGCTATTCTGTTTTTTAAAACATGTTTCTTTTTCCCCCCACATCCAGAGAAATATTCTGCCTTTTCAATATTTCCTAGGATATTTCATTTTTCTGGGAGAGGGCTGGGTGATAGCTTCCTACACTCCAATTTAAATTTTATGTAGTAAGCATTTCATTTAGTTAGTTATCCACAAGTAATAATTTTAATCTATATCCCTCACATTGCACTGAATTTATACCATTGGCTCTATTAGCCAAGTGTTTCCTGCATCTCTATGGTACTCTGTCATTTTTTCTTATAAAATGAGGTAAAAGGGGCGCGGGGGGGGTCCGTTTTGTTGCTTTAACGTTTTAATAT